GTTAAAGTGGACTCAATTTGCACTATCTCTAGCAGTCTGCAAAGGCCTATGACTATTCAAATCCTGGCTCAGCCATGAAAGCCCACTGGGAGACCTTGAGCAAGTCACACGCTCTCAGCCTCAGAGGAGGGCTATGGCAAATCTCCTCTGAAGAAACTCACTTGGCTATGAAAACCACCGGGTGACCTTGGGTAAGTCACACTCTCTCAGCCTCAGGGGAAGACCATGACAAACCTCCTTGAACAAATCTTGCCAAGAAAACCCTGTGATAGATTCAGCTTAGGGTCTCTATAAATCAGAAATTACTTGAAGGCACTTAACAACAACAACAACAACAAGAACGCCAAGCTGTAGTGCGGTGCGTTCCCCATATTATTTTCAGGGTCCTTCTTTTGCTTTTCCTCGCTTCACGTTTGTTTGGTTTTTAGAAAAGCGGAAAGGGTTGGAGTTTCCAACGGTCCCTTTTTAATGTAACACCCGCTGCCATGGGGGAGCTATTTCTATTAGCGCGTGCTACGTCACTGAAGCTGAGCCCGGCTCTTGGCGTGGACAGAACAGACCCATCCAATCTATCTCCCGAGAACATGGATGAGTGACAAAAGAGTCTTCCTTGGCCTTTGTCACTGATGGGGAGGACTTTGAATTAAGGCAGGATCTGTCCAGGGAAATAAAAACTCTGTGGCTTTGCCTTCCCTCTGCCTTTGCCCTCTCAAGCTGCCCCGATATTTTCCAAAGAGGTAGCCCTGTTAGTCTGTCATAGCATAGACCAGGGGTAGGCAACCTTTCCCCTTTAAGGGCCGAGGGACTTCAGCTCCCAGAAGCCTCAGCCATGTTGGACAATAGTCCCATGTTGGCCAATAGCTCCTGGGATTCTGGGAGCTGAAGTCCCTCTGCCCTTAAAGGGGAAAGGTTGCCTATCCCTGGCATAGACAGCAAAATGGGACAAAGGAGGAATGGAGCATCACCTTTAAGAATCAATGCCACATAAATCTAAAAACCCACAAAAACAGTGATACCAAGTAAAATGCCCAAGAAACATCATTCCAGGGTGGCCAGGCCTCCTCCTTTTCCAGGACTCTAACTGCCAAATCTAGGTCCATCGAGAGAGAAAAATGTAGAGCATGGCCAAATAAAAGCTAAAAACACTCACATAAAATGTACATTCGTGCCAAAGTCGAAGGTTTTCGCAGCCGGCGGCCGTAGTTTTCTGTGGGTTTTCCGGGCTTATGTGGCTGCATTCTGGAAGAAGTTATCCCTGACATTTTGCCTGTGTTGCCTGTAGACAAAACAGGAACAGAGACCCTAGGGCAGGGGTAGGCAACCTGTTCCCTTTAAGGGCCGAGGGACTTCAGCTCCCAGAAGCCTCAGCCATGTTGGCCAATAATCCCATGTTGGCCAATAACTCCTAAGGCCTCTCAGACAGATCAGTCCTGTAACTTGAGAGCCCCTCCCTCAGCTAATCAACATCCTTATATACCATCTTACACAGCTAGTTTATAATTACATTAACATATGCATCGTTCAACTCCTGTTCCTTCATATAGCTCCCTGAAGGATTTACAGAAGCTCCTCAATCCTGGAAACGCATCTTAGGATAGGGAGCTCTACTCCTTTCTGCTGGAAATACTACATAGCAGTTACCAGGCAGAAATCAAATGGTTACACTGCAGTTACCAGGCAGAAGTCAAAATGTTACATTGAAAACAGGCAGGGCTAAGTGGCTTCAGTCTATATATAGTGACAGGAGGGCAGGGAAGGTTAGAATAAACCTAAACACTGGCTGATCACTATTGTCCTTGGTCTGCAATAAAGTCTTTTTGTGCTTTCAACAAAACTATTGTCTGAGGGCCTTTGCAGACTGCCAGAAATAGTGCACATTAAATTGAGGCACTGCCCTGGCTCAGTGCTAGGGAATCATGGGAACTGTATTTTATTGTGGCACCAAAGCTCTCTGACAGAGAAGGCTCAATGTGTCAGAAAAAAATACAATTCCCATGACTCCCTAGCACTGAGCCAGGGCAGTGCCTCAATTTAATGTGCATTATTTCTGGCAGTCTGCAAAGGCCCTGAGTCTGTGGAACAGAGCTGATTGGTACTAACACAGAGTTCACATCAACACTTCATAAAATATTCTTCAGTACAGCAATCTGAAGTTATTTACACTGGAGAATGAGTAGGCTCTTTATTAGTCTTTTAGGGTATTTATTATATGCATTTAGAGATATACAAGCATACACACTCCCCCTAGGGAGAAACACAGTTATTTTAATGTCTAGGCATATTACTTCCATTACATTGCATTACACGTAAGGCATTGTACAGTACAGTCGCTCCTGGAAAATGGAGGGGCACAAAATGTGGGGGCACCCACGGGAACATGCCTCCATTCAAGCCAATGGGGCTTGATTATTTGTGATTTTCTGTTTTTGTGGGGTGGGGGTGGGGGGTGGAACGGATCCCCCGCGAAAACAGAGGGGCGACTGTACATTACATTATAATATAGAGCAGGTAAGGTGTCACACTTTCATAAGAATGGAACTTTTATATCTTCTATATCTTCTTAACAGGCATCTCTACAGTAAACACTTAGAGGAACTTTACCATCTTAACCAATATAACTATTGATCCACTACAGAGTACAGTCATCTGTTGAGGAATAGGCAGGAATTAGTCCAATTGATAAAAGACATGTACACTCCCCATTTATCTAAACCAGGGGTAGGCAACCTTTCCCCTTTAAGGGCCAAGGGACTTCAGCTCCCAGAATCCCAGGAGCTACTGGCCAACATGGGACTATTGGCCAACATGGCTGAGACTTCTGGGAGCTGAAGTCCCTCGGCCCTTAAAGGGGAAAGGTTGCCTACCCCAACAATTAGTCCCCTCCTTAGAGGTGATGTAGCACATTGGGTACACTTGGATTTGGGCTGTCTTTCATCAAATTACATTAGCCATATGATTGCATCAGTTGTTCCCTTTAACAAGCACCTGTCTCAGGTTCATTATAGGGGAATTCACAGTTCTCGCATTAGCTTAACATTGTTTATAGCTAGAATCATAGAATCGGAAGAGACCACAAGGGCCATCCAGTCCAACCCCCTGCTTCATGCCTGAAACTACACTCTTGGTCTTTCTCTCTCTCTCTCTCTCTCTCTCTCTCTCTCACACACACACTCTCCACAAAACACAGAACTTTCTGCTTTATAAACATATTATTTACACTTCCAGATCTTAAATTTCATGAACTTGAACCCAAATCACTACATAACCTTACCATAATATAATATATATTTGTTAAGGTTTTCCTTTCTGTGAGATCAAGACCACTTTCAAGACTAGAGCATAAATTACTACCAATTTTGCTACCCACTGCAAAGGTCTTTAAAGTATTTAAGAAAACTTGCATAAAAAGGGCCTGGTCCCTGTTGGGTGTGTAAAAATACTACAACATATAGAGGTTAAGAAGATTCCTTTGATTGGTATATATCTCCCCTTCAGACCTCTCTTAGCACCTTCAGTGATTACAAAGAGTGAGAGGCAAAGTGTTAAGCGGTGCAGGCTACAGGTTACTATTCAGACTACTATTCCCTTGTTCAGCTCCACTGGCTGAATTCCAGGGTCAAGTCAAAGTGCTGGTTATTACCTATAAAGCCTTATATGGCACAGATTCAGGATATCTATCCCCCTGTATGAGCCTGCTTGGGCTGAGATCATCAGGAGAGGCCCTTCTCTCAGTAAGTTTAAAATGTGTTTTAACTGTTTAAGCCATGGTTTTTAATAATATTATTTCTTTTTAAACTTCTGTAAAGTAGTATTTTAATTTAATCTTGCTTTTATATATCTGTAAGCTGCCTTGAATCCCATACTGGGAGAATGACAGAGTATAAATTCAATCAATCAATCATTTCTTTAACTAGTCTCCACTTTCTTATATTTTCCATTTTGGAACCTAAGCATACAGACTGATGTTTTTTTAACACAGAGAGAGGGGGTTGGTGAGGCACATATTTCCCTTTCCTCTCTGTTTTACTGTTCTTGCAAAGGATTACAGATAGATAGCTGCTATTTATTTTGACAGTTATAAGCAGAGTTGAATCCCAGTCTTTCCCAGCTAAAGCATTTATTGCATTGTTTACTGCAGATAAGTTGCAGTAACCCAACACCAAAACTGTGTTTCTCTACTCTTCACCTTACTCCTAATTCCAATGCTGCTAAAACTGCCTGCTATACAGAGGATGAGGAGGAAAAACAGGGCTGGGTGTGCGTGAAAAGATTTTGTAAAGAAGAGCTTCTTTGTCAGAGACTAAATTGAGGCACTGCCCTGGCTCAGTGCTAGGGAATCATGAGAACTGTAATTTATTGTGGCACCAGAGCTTTCTGACAGAGAAGGCTCAATGTCTCAGAAAAAAATACAGTTCCCATGATTCCCTAGCACTGAGCCAGGGCA